CCCCACGTTTGAGGGACATGATTGTTTTCCGAGGCAACAAGGAAGGTTACCCTAGAGGTGCAAGTGTGAGAGTGATTCATTTTCAGTTATGCTTATCTTTGAAATTAGGGTTAGCTATCATTTGCTTTTAATCTTTCCATACAAGACCTAATTATTAACAGTAAAGTGCAGAAAACAAATGCCGAAAATAAACCCTAAGTTATTACACGTCTTTGGGAGAGATGCATAATAGAAATGCCGAAAGTAAATCCTAATTACTATTACAAACTAAAAAACAGTTATATAATCAAAAAAATGCAAGAATAATAAATTATATTCGCGAAAGTACAGGTGATATGAAAATATGAAGAAAAAAATAGAAAAGAAAAGATCTTTTTATGAAAAAAATGTTTGTGGGGAATTTATTAAAAACCCTAAGAAAACTAATTAATTTTAGTGAAAAAATTCAATTAATTAAATTTAAAAACCTAATTAATTTTAATTAAAAAATAATTAATTAAATTAATTTTAAAAAACTAAACCTGATTAATTAACCTAAACTAATATCTTAGTTTAATTAAATAATTAAAAGAAATAATTAAAAGAAAGAAAATATAAAAAGAGAAAGGAGAAAATGGGCCTGATTTAGAGTAATTTGGGGGGTGCTGAAAAGAATTTCGTTAGGCCCAAAAAGGAGAGGCCCAAGATGTTAGCGTTGAATCTTGTGCATTCATCCATAGAGGAAGTAGCGTGTGCTTGTGGATCTGGGATCGTTGGATCAGATCTATACAAATCTGATGGTGAGGCGTGGCAGGATGCACGATTGTTGTGTGTGACCCACCACACTGGATCTGCGTGTTAGTTGTAAAACAAAAAAAATAAATGTCCAAAGTTGGGATCAAACCCATGCTCTCAGCATCACCAACCATGTTCTTCACCACTAAGCCAATTGTTGTTGTGCATCAAACATGTAACTATTAATATATATAAATAAAATTGAATCAAAAAATCAGAAATCAAATAAACTTAAACACTAGCGCAAGAGTGGGGCCAAATAATTTCAAATGGGCCAGTTGAAGCGTGCCATGCCTAGGGCTAACAGAGTCAGAGGTCAAACCACCGTGGAGGGTGGAAAACACCATCATCTCCGATGGGGTGTTTTTTAAAACCCTGCAAAATCAATCAAAAAGAAAAAAGAAAAAGCCTTGATCGATTATATTGGATCCTGCGAACTCAATGGTAAAGTTAGTTTCATCTAAAAAGGCATGTATCATTGAATACGAAGATTCACGAGCTTCCTGCCCTAGCCATGGTGAAACTCAAATCATGCGTTAAAGCTTGCGACTAATGGTTCTAAACAGTCATAAACATCATCATGAACATGCATATATGCATCAAATCGATCAATAATGCGTAAATTAAAGGTTTGAGTTTGAAAATTTTACCAAAACCGGTGTGACTTGGGTGGCTTGTTCTGGGCACGGTTTGGCTTGGCAAAAGGCTTGGATGAACTTCTGAAAGTCATAGGAGAATGATTTGATCTTTGGTTTTGAGTGAGAATGACTATAAATAGGGCTTTGAATTTGCCCTAGTTCTTGAATTTCTGTGAGCTTTAGGGTTGCTCTTTGGAGGCTTGCATGCGTGGTATTTTTTTCTGAATTGCTGAGTATATATATAAGGGAAACTAGGTCAACTAATCATGGGCTTGGACCTTGTCTAAAAGTTTTGTTTTATTTTACTTTTTTTAATTTTAAATAAATAAAAATAAAAAATAAATATAATAGAAACCCTAGGGGTGTATGAACAAGTCTTGAGGTTCATATGAAATGTAGAAATCGTTTGGACTTTGAAACAATAGCCCAATAACCCAAAATTTCAAGTTTGCTCAATTTAGGTTTCATGTATATGCTGGAAATTTCCCAACTTGCCTTAGTCATAACTTTCTCAACTTTCATCATATGAAATTGATCTTTGACTTTTTGGAAAGCTCAAGATGTCCTCTACAATCTCTATGTTGACCATTTTTGCATTTGAAGATTTTATCTTGATGTAAGTTACCTTGACAAAAAGTATCTTTTTGTTGACTTTTGAAATGACCTATAATGTATTGGCCCATATCTCTCAAATGAAGCATGTTTTGGACTTGAGCTTAGAAAGACAAAGTTGTAGAGTATTGAATTTCCTTCACAATGAGCTTTAGTTGAGGAAAATCTGATGAAGCATGTGAAAGTTATGCTTGGTTAAAGTTCAGTTGACTTCTCCTTAGAAAAAACCCTAATTTGGCAACTTTTGACTTTTGATAATTTGAGAGTTTTTCTTGATGAATCATGATCAACCCTTGATCAAATGATGAATATAACTTCAAAACCTTGATGTTGACCAAAAATCTTGAGGTTTGAGTGTATGTTGACCACAGTTGACTTTTTACCTAATATTGTTGATTTTCAGTCATCTGAGCAATTGACTGAGCAAACTTGTGATACATGGCATGAAACTTGGTATGAGCATTATTGAAGACATATAAGAATTCATGAAATCCACTTGAGGCTTTTAGAAACCCAATCTTCCTTGTGAAAAGTGAAAACCCTAATTGTAGGTCATTGCTTAGGAGGAGGGTTTGTCTGATCAAACATTGAGTAGCCTTAAGCAATTGAAAACCCTAGAAGCATGAGAAGGTGTCTTGAAGAAAATGGGAGGGAAAACTTCAAGGTACAAAACTTTATCACCCTTTTTCCAAAAGAACATTTCTTCTTATTGGAAAACAAACTCTTGTACTGCGGAACCTTCAAAATCTCTATTAGGTGTTCTCTATGTTCCTCCGTACTCTTACTGTATATAAGAATATCATCAAAAAACACAAGGCAGAACTTTCCTAAAAATGGCCTCAATACGTCATTCATGAGGGCTTGAAAGGTTGATGGAGCATTTGACAACTCAAAGGGCATTACTAAGTACTCATAATTGAAGAATGGAAAAACACAAGAAGGGGGGTTGAATTGGAATCTTAAAACTCAAAGAAAAGAACACGTTGATTTTTATCCTGGTTCGTCTGAACTCAAACTACTTCAGTCTATCCGTCAAGGTGATTTCGCCTCTCTCCAACGAGGTCTTAATCCACTAATCAATCTTGATTACAAGTATACTTTGCCAACTGCCAAAGTCTTCTTGAGTATAATCACAACCTGGTTTTTCTCAAGGAAATTCACTAAACAATATAAGAATAAACAGTGTACAATATTGTTTCTCACAAAACAGTATCACAATATAGTGATGTTTTACACAGTTGAAAATATTGAACGTTTGAGGATTAGAGATGATTGCAGCGTTGTTGAGTATGTGTGAAATCGTAAGCGATTTATCCTCAAGGCTTGTTTAAATAGGCGCAACATGGGTGATCATTTGGAAACTTGATTAATGACAATTAAGGTGCTTTCCAAAAATAAAGATACTTGTTCCCTTCCAGTCGTTACTCTTGAAATGGAAATATTTGATTTGCAACGCTTCAGAATATTGAAGTATCCGTTGTTGCTTGCTTCAGAACTTTTAAAGATCAGAGCCATAAAATCTTGTTTGCAGCGTTAGAACTTCTTTCCAAGAGTATTATAATCAGAGTTGAAACATATTTTTAGCGCAACTTCTGATCTCCATTCATCAGAGCTTTTTTAGAGATGTTTTCAATCACAGCAGAAATAACTTTGTAACTTATCTTCTGATCTTCTTCCATCAGAACTTCTCTATAAAACAGAATATACTTTTAGAGTGCATAATTGTTCTTTGTGTTTGTTATCATCAAAACTCTTACAGGGGTTGTAGAATCAAACTATGTTCTAACAATAATGTCCTTCATGAGTCCTAAATGCAGTCTTAGCAATATCATCTTCCTTCATTCTAATCTAGTGATACCCTGACTTTAAATCCAACTTAGAAAAAATGATAGCACCCCCAACTCATCTAGCAGTTCTTCAATAATTGGTATGGGAAATTTGTTAGGTACGTTCACTTTATTTAAAGCTCTATAATCAGTAAAATACCTTTGGCCTTCATCCTTCTCGACTAACAGAACTAGATTTGAGAAATGGCTAGTATTGTGCCTTATGATCCCTTCCTGTAGCATTTCCCCCATAATTCTCTTTATTTCATTCTTCTGATAAAAAGGGTATCTATAGGGCCCGAGGTTTGGGATAGCAGCATCGGGTTTTACAATGATATCATTATCATGTTCCCTAATGGGTGGAAGTCCTGAAGGCAAATTGAATACTCCTTAAAATTTACCCAATATATTCCCCCATTCTCGTGACTCAATTGAGTCATCAACTATGGCAGACTCATAGATTGCACCAGAAATCCCATTCCTTCATTATACAAAGCTTTCATCATAGCCTTCATGGAAGTTTGTTTGGTGTGTAAAATATGGTCCCCATGTATACTGTACTTGTGTCCTTCATACTCCCGTTTCAGACATAACTCCCCAAAGTTTGCTTCAATATTACCTAAACTGGCCAAATAATCCATTCCCAACACCATATCGGTCCCTCCTAAATCCATCAAAAAGAAGTATTGGTTGAATTCCACCCCATGCATCATGAATTCCAACCCTTCACAGATTCCCTGATATTTGACTATTTCTCCATTTCCCACTTCAATTACATAAGGAGGAGTTTCTACCAACTTTAACCCATTTGTTCTACCAGTTTGGCATCAATGAACTTACTTGTTGCTCCTGAGTCAATTAGGGTTACTAGCTTCTTCCCATGCATAGTCACCCAGACTTTAAATGATTTGTTAGAAGTAAATCCTTGTTTACTCTGCATACACAGTTGTAGAGTTTTGAATTCTTCCTCTGCTTCCACCAGTTCTTCTGTTTGGACTCCTACTCCCCATGTTTCCTCTTCTTCATCACTGTTATTTTCACACAATTTCAAGCTCAGATGCTTGAACTTACAGATATGATCCATATTCCATTTGTCTCCACACTTAAAACACATCTCCTTATTGCTCCTCTCTTCCAGCTCTGCAGGATTTTATATCCTGCCCTTGTATCTCTCATTTCCCCCACTACTAACTCTTTCCCATTCCTTCTTAGATCCTCCAATTTCTACAAGATCTTTGAGCTTTCCGAGTCCTCCTCTATCTCTCCAAGAGCCACCCTTCTTCTGCAACACTTCATTTTTTTCTTCAATTATTAAGACCATGTACATCAGTTCTGCTAGGCTTTGACTCTCATGGAGTTTAAGCTCAGCTTGAATCTCTTCTTTTAATCCATTCAGAAAAATATAGTCCAGCATGATCCTTTCCTCTCTTCTCAAAAGAGATACTAACATTTCAAATTTCTCCATATACTCTACAACTGACCCTCTCTATTTCAGGCTTAACAAAGGTCCCAAAGGATTGTGCAATAACCCAGGTTGAAACCTCCTCATCACAACCACTTTAAACTCTTCCAGAGTCTTCAATGGCGCCTGCTCGTCCCACCATTGATACCAGTTCAAAGCTTTGTCTTACATGGCGAGCACAACTGCATCTAGCTTGTAACGCATCCTCACCCCATTAAGGTGAAAATACCTCTCAACACGGACGAGCCACCCATACGCGTTCTCTCCTTTGAAAATCAGAATTTCTAACGTAGTCCCCTTCCCATGAAACGAGATTTGTTTCCACCACTATGACGGCAGTTCCTGGGTCTAGATTGTCGTGATGGCGTGCTCCTTCCGCTTTCTTCATCTTTTTTGTTGGATCTTCCGTTATTCCGACCTGGGCGCTCTTGAATCAGCTGGCCGATTTGCTCCACCGTGACTTGCAGTCTCGCTTGCTACTTCATCACCAGCTTTCGAATCTGCTCCATCGTTCCTTCAAAATTGTTTATTCTCTATTCTATAGTATCGACTCAGTTTTCCATGATTCTTCTCGTCACGACCATCTACAGTGAAACGAAACCAAGGCTCTAGATACCAAATTGATTGGATCAATTTAATATCTAAGTACATAAATAGGAAGTATAGTAGAATAAAAGTAGAAAATGGTGATTTTTATTGAAGATTACTAGAGTTCATATGGGATCTAGTAGTACAAACAAAAGCAGAAATTTGCAAGAAAATAGAAATGATAAAGAGGCTCTTAGAGAGACCTTATCTCTCCCATGAGAATATTCTCAACTAGATTTATGCATATCATCCTCAGAGTCAGTCTTCAATCATTTATTTCCTTACTCCTAGATTCTCTTACCACTCAGCTATTGCCAGTTGTCACCCATGTGAAGTACTAACAAACTTTGTCCTATTCACTCTCTCTCCTCTTCTTATGTTTTCTCTTATAAAACTTACCATACCTACAAATTTACTGCTTGGAACAACAACTATAGATGTGCCATTCATGATGTGGTTCTACTTCTTGCGGTTGGAAGATCCATTGGACAACAAATTTTGAAAGGTTACTCAATACAACAGTTGAACGTCATAAAGTGAAGGTTAATTTGTATAATTAGCATATTCATTGGACAAACTCATGTCGGATAGATTATGCTTCTCCTTCTAGCATTTAGGAAAATTTAGACTGACTGAAGACCCAAAAATCATACAGGTCTATGTGTGTTACAACCTTCTTGCTTAAGCCATGATGGCATCAACGAGAGTATCACTGCTCTCGACACTTATTTTGTCACCAGCAACTTCACCCTTCCATCTGCAAAACCAGCCGTGACTCTCATTTAAACAACAACCCAATCTGCAACAGTCAAGTTAGAAGAAGAGGAGATAGGGACTGTTATCACATAAGTTATTGTCGCGACCACCGTTACACCTGTAATGGCAAGCCAACCCCTTCCATCGTTTGTGCCTTTACCCAAATCTAATGAAAAATGTGCTTGATTTGTCATTTACTATGAAATTTGAGTGTCAACAAATGAATACAAGGAAAGAACCACCTCGTACATAGGTAGGTGGGAGGATCATGTGATGGTGGCTGAGAGAATAGGATGACGAAACAATGCAGCGATATGGCAGTTAACAAGGCGGTGGAGACGATGGGCTAAGCGTTATAAAATTTAACTTTTTTTTGTTTCTTCATGAGAGCAAGAGGTCTTTTGATTAGAAGCACGAGTCTTGATGAGAACAAGGGGTCTTTGATTAGAATGTCCACATGTGACCGATGGAAGACCAGCAAGTTTGCAAGGTCAAGGGATGGAAAAATGGTTGAGGATGTGGTTGTGGACAAAGATTTTTGAAAGGGTATTGTAATAGGTTTGAAGGGTGCAAGGCCGCAAATCAAAGTGAATAGAATGTTTTTCAAATAACACACTAACTCAATTTATTCTATACTTCAGTTATTTGTTGTCTACATGGAACATCACTGATGAAAGGTTGGACAACCCTCCTCAGGCCTTTGCATGATGCATGCTATTTTTCTTAACCCTAAATTGAGTTATGCTCCTGATTTGAAAGTAAAAAAAGGGTCTAATGAGTTGTATAGAGAGCTCTGACCTGTGTAACGCCCGAGAGAAACTCTTGACTGTAGATTTCCCCAATGCCTTTAAAACCCTGAAGTTGAAAACAGTCATTTAGCATACAATATTTGTTAAATTTCAAATTCCAATGCCTTTAAACCTTAACATGTAATGACAGAAAAACATGTTACCATTAGGGAAAAAAGAACAGAGTACCAGATAGAACATCACCTTCAAATGTGGCTTTCTTGTATATCTAGACAAAAAAAACGACCTCTTTGCAGATCTCATTCGCGCCTGGTGAATACTTACTAATTAATAACATGAAACCATTATCTAAAAAGAGGAGTACAAGATATAACATGAAACCATTATGAATAATAACGCCACTAGAAGAATGAGGAAAGGTGTTGGAATTATAAATTTAATGTCCGCTTTAAATATAAGGGTCTGTTTGGTTTCCGCTTAGGTTAATATAAGAACTTAAGGCTGACCCATTTGACAATCCTAAAGGAAACAAAAACGTTGAGGGATATACGGTGTGAGATTGTTACCTGAGCGGCATTGGTAGTAGTGACAGTGGAATTAGAAGAAGACGGTCGTAAGCTAATGTGAGAGATAGAGATAGGGAAAATACAAGCTCCTTAAAGAAAGAGGTTGTTGAAGAACTTGATTACGCCGGGTAAATCGAATACGAAGTCGACGATCTTATGGGATCCATTTAACAACAGGGAAGTTATCTCATCGTCCTTACAAGTGGCTAAAAGACATTATGCTATTAGCGATGGTGATTAAGCTAGACCACTCGGTGTCCACCAGATTCTTCTTCTCGGCTTCTGAGAGGCGAGATCACTCGGTGTTGATGAGGAGAGCTATCTTGTTGTCGGAGAGGCGAGATATTTCTCTTTCTGAGAGTTGACAGATTTTACTTGCAATGTAGTTGAAAAAGGCGCGGACGACCGCACGAGATGAGTTTTCGCAGAGGGCGAGAGCGATAACTATGGGGTTACGCTTACCATCATCCACGACGCGACGGAGAGAGAGAAACAATCATAGTGTTTCACTTTTTGACCTTAAAATATATTGCGAGCAGTGTTTTTTTAAATAAAAAAATATATTTGTGAACAGTACCGTTAACATGTGCATAGTATATTAACAATAACTAATAATTGTATTCGTGCAATACACTAAAAATAAATTATTTCAATGACAAATCAATACAACATAAATGTAGTACATAATATGTTATTATATTTTTAAATTATTTTTGACATAATATAGTAAATAACCATATATATATATATATATATATATATATATATATATATATATATATATATATATATATATATATATATATATATATATATATATATATATATATATATATATATATATATATATATATATATATATATATATATATATATATGTGTGTGTGTTTTCCCAGAATATGTAATATCGAATTGGGATTTATAGTCGATTTAAGGAGGATCGCAAGAAGGCAAGAAAGCATAGATATGTGTGTAACTCCGGTTAGTGTCCTCGGGATCAAAGGGTTAGGCTGCGTCTTATCTCCGAGTACCTACACCCAGGTAATGCTCTCCATGACATGACCCAGCAGGATATGAAGAGTCAGCGTGAGGACCCGGTCGTCAGTGGCGGAGTTAGAAAACTTATGAAGCTTGGGCAAGTTATAATTTATAGAGAAAAATTATAAAAAAAACAAAATTTATATAATTGTAGTAGAAAAAAAAACATGTTATGGTAGAAACTAAAGTTTACATACATGTTTTCACTGGTTTTTTGCAACACGCCTTCAACTATCAAGTGAATGTCAGCCTCAGTAGAAGTTTTATTCAAATTTTTTGAGGCCTTAATTAAGTCTTGACTATAATGAGGTTCACTTTCAATTTTCTTGAGTGACACTATCATTTATGCAAAGACATAACATTTCAACAAAACACACCATAAACAAAGTTGTCATTTTCCTAAAAATTGATCAAAACAATGCATTCATCACAAATGCCATATACCCTAATTACTGAATACCCCACTATAAACAGCATATTTCTTTTGCAATAAAAAAGGAAGCAATAAACTAATAACATCCAAACTATCACAAAAATAATAATATTTGATATATTTCATCGTCAACCAAAACAAAGTAATCCATACCAGTTGCAACCATAATTCTCTCATTGATCTTTTTCCATATTGTGCGATGAATAACAAGCTCCCCTCGGACATATTTTGGAAGCAACTTAACATCCCTAGCCTGCAATAACAGCACAACAAATCCATTACTACTAAATAATTAGTATATTGATATTGTAACCCATATTTTTTTCACAATTTCTACATACACATTTTCACACACAGTACAGAGGCGTTGCACCATAATTTACATTCAAAAATTCTAAAAAAGCTCTCTTTTATTTTAACCAACTTAACTCAAACTTTCAAGCACCAATGTTACAAACAATTTACAACAAAAATCCAAATTCACATTCATCACAAATCTCTTATAGTAACATCAAGCTTCCCTGTGTTATATCTTAAACATCACCGCTTTTTTTTCATACAAAAGTCATCATTTTTTTTTTGTAATATAAAGTCAAGGGATTATATAGAAACCAAAAACTCACTCATAGTTTCATACCTACATAACAACAAGCCAATCATAAAGTAATAACAATAATCATAACTATTCTTGCCTAAGTTTGTTTTTTGCAGAAAGAATATTGAAAAACAAGAACAGGAAAAGAAACCGAAGTATCTCCGACAATGAAGAGGAAAAGGGGCAGATCGGATCCTCCGTGATTCCAAGACACAAATCATCGTCAACTGCAATGACGCAGCTCCTCGGGCCATCGCAACCGCTCACACTATTCTCCGGCGGACAACCTCCATCACGCAGTGAATCCGCCGCCGAACAACGAGACTAAATCGCATACCACTTTTTGGGGTGATTGGTTGTCGAATCTTGAAGTGGTGGTGGTGCGGGATGGTGAAGTATGGTTGGGCGGAGCCTGGGCAGCTGCCCTACCTGGGCGGACGCTGGCTCTGCCACTGCCGGTCGTAACTCAAGAAACGGTCACCAGTTATTAATCACCAGTCGTTACCCTGAGTTAAGTGCATCAATGATGGCTGGCGGCAGACGTTTCAAGGCAATGATAACATGAGAAACTTCAAGGAGCGCCTTAAAGGAAGTTCTTGAAGGTATTATATAAGCTATATATAGGGGCTTCCGAAAGAGGGATAAGCAAGATATATATTCTTGAGATAATACGTACTGCTAGCGTAGCTCTCAAATCCTCAATCATACTTACAAAAATTTACCTTTGTGGTTCTCCTTATTCCTATAGGGAAGCTAACTGTTTGGTGTTCCTACGCAAGAACATTTGGTGCTCACCGTGGGGCCTCGTCAAACTGTCCTAGCCCACTCAACAAACCATATTCGTCAGAATATCAACCGATGAGGACCCCCTAGATATGGCGCAACTATTGGCCATAGTGGAGGCCCTCAGGCAACAAAATGATACCTTGCAGGATAGTATAGCAGACTTGCAGCAAAAGAGTCAGCGGGAGGACCCTCCGGAAGAGGAGCTTATGAATCCTCGACCACTCTTACAAGCAATATGGGACGATCAAGTCCCTGACAAATTCAAAGCATTGTCACTCACAACTTATGATGGCAAGTCTGATCCTCAAGAGCACGTTATTGCTATCAACAATCATATGGCAATAATAGATCCTGCTAATTCCCTAAAGTGTAAACTCATGGCGGGAACCTTCAAGGATGTAGCCTTGAGGTGGTATATGAGCTTACCCCAGCTATATGTGGAAAGCTACACAGATCTAACCAAGAAGCTGGTACAACACTTCTCGGTCAACAGATATCGCAAGGTGTCAACCACTACCTTTTTTAATGTTCGATAAGGGCGGTTGGAATCCTTGCGATAGTACTTGGCCAGATTCAATGAAGAAACCATAGAAGTCTCGCACCCTAATCAAGAGCTGTTCATGGGAGCATTTCAGCACGGTTTACGGGTTGGGCAATTCAATGAGTCCTTATCTCAGAAATCGGCCTCCAAAATGGAGGAGATTATTAACAGAGCAGAATGTTACATAAAAGTAGAAGGGAGTAATCATGAGAAATGCTTAAGGGACACTACTGAAAGGTCCAAAAGCAAGGAGACGGGGCATGGAGATGCCAAGAACCTTCCCGGTACGCTGCCCGAAACGCGCCCGAGAATGTCTTGGGGGAAGAGTCAGTCAGAGACCAAATTGCATACCCTTGGTTTCAGATGAAGATTTGACTCTGTTGAATACTCAGAGGGGAGATATACTGTAGGAGGTTGGTGACTTAAATCTGATCCTGATAACACCAGCTCGTCCTAAGGGGGCTACGTTGTGATGGGAAAGAATGTCAGAGCTTGGTATAATTATCACTGACTTTGAGGTCACCACACTGACGACTGTCACAAACTGTAGGAGGTTGACGACTTGAATATGATCCCGGCAGCACCAGCTCGTCCTAAGGGGGCTACACCGTGATGGGAAAGAATGTCGGAGCTTGGTATAATTATCACTGACTTTGAGGTCACCACACTGACGACTGTCACCAACTGTAGAAAGAGATTAAAGCGCTGATACAAAGAGGACATCTCTTGTCCTATGTGAAAGACAATAAGTCACAATCCAGGAAGAGAGACTCTTGCAGGGACAACTCGGGATCGCAAGAGTCTTCTCATAAGAAGGGGAATGGCCCAGAGGAAGTCCACGAAAAAAAATCAGCTCGCCATACTCTCAACACCATCACTGGCCGGTTTGCTAGAGGTGGGGAAACGAGTTCATCTAGGAAGAGGTATGCCCGGGTTGTGATGCACGTGTCAGAGAAATCACCCGTCAACCAAGAACATGACCTGAATCCAGTGAGCTTCTCCAAGCTTGATGTCATAGGAATTCTTGCCCACAAAAATGATTTGATGGTTATTAAACTCCAAATCCATGATTTGAGTATGAAGAGGGTACAGGTGGACCTTGGAAGCTCAAATGGTGTTCTATATTAGGAAGCTTTCAAAGGAATGTAGTTCGACACAGCCGAGTTATTGCCCTTAAACGACACCCTGGTCGGATTCTCAAGAGAGCATGTGCATGTGCTAGGATACCTGCCAATACTAACTACCTTTGGGAGTGGTGGGAATACAAAAGCAACAAGAGTAAGATGCCTCATTGTTAACGCTGCCTCACCTTATAACATCATCATGGTAAGACCATCTTTCAACTCCCTAGAGGTTGCTCTATCCACCTTGTACCTCACTATGAAGTACCCATTGGGGGCGGTCAGGTAGGGGTGATCAAAGGCGACCAGGGATTAGCACGAAAGTGTTACAAGGATAGCTTAAAGTTGAAGAAGAAAGGCCAAACCGAGGAACTCGACTCCTCACATGATCTCATAGTCAACTTGGTTGACATTAATCCGCGAGATGACTCATCGGAGGATGGCTTGTCTCCTCATGAAGAAAATAAAAAGGTCCAAATCGGGAACATACCCTATGAGATAGCCTATATTAGAACCTACCTTTCTCCTGAAAAAGAGAAGGATATTACAACAATATTAATAGAGGATGTTGACTTATTTGCCTAGAATTCGTCAGATATGTCGGGGATATACCCTAATTTCATGTGTCATCACTTGGATCTGAACCCGGATAATAAACCAATCTCTCATAGGAAACATAAAGGTGGTGACGAGAAGAGGAAAGTTATTAGAGAGAAGGTCGGGAAATTACTAGATGTCGGTTTCATTAAGGAAATCAAGTACCCGACCTAGTTGTCTAACATGGTGATGGTAAAGAAGAAGAATGGGAAATGGCTTATGTGTGTTGGTTTCACATATCTCAACAAAGTATGCCCCAAAGATCCTTACCCTCTACCTCAAATAGACAAACTCATTGATGAAACCTCCGGTTACTCAGCTTTATAGATGCTTACTTCGGGTACAATCATATTCGTATGAGCCTGATTGACGCTCCAAAGACAGCTTTCATGACGGATAGAAGCAATTAATACTATGAGGTAATTCCTTTTGGCCTCAAGAATGAAGGGGCTACTTATTAAAGGTTGATGGACAAGGTGTTCGCTACTCAAATCGAAAGAAACCTTTAAGTTTATGTGGATGACATGGTGGTAAAAACCACCTTGGAGAAACGACATATTATGGATCTCACAGAGACTTTTACATCAATAAGGAGTCACAACATGAGGTTGAAACCGGGTAAGTGTATCTTCGGGGTGCAAGTCAGAAAATTCATGGGGTTTATGCTCACAAACCGGGGGATTGAAGCTAATCCAGACAAGTGCCAGAAAATTATAGACATGGGATGCCCATCTTCAAAGAAAGAAGTTCAACAACTAACAGGGAGGCTAGCCTTCTTGTCTCAGTTTTTATCTTGTGCAGGTGATAAGTCTATTCATTTATTTGCAGCTCTGAGAAAGTCCGAAGAGTGTGAGTGGACAACTGCATGCAAAAAAGCTTTCCAAGGCATGAAGCCTTTTTTATCTTCTCCTCCTATCCTAGTGAGACCTAAAGAGAATGCACCTTTAATATTGTACTTGGTCATATTTGACAAGGCAATGAGCTTCGTCCTCGTACAAGAGGGGAAAGATGGGGGAGATACCAATATATTTTGTCATCAAGGTTCTAAAAGGAGCTGAGTTGTGATACCAGAAGATTGAAATATTGTCATTAACATTGGTGGTAACAGCAAGAAAGTTGAGGCATTACTTCCAGGGTCACCCCATAAAAGTGAGGACTAACTACCCAATAAAAAATATTGAAGAAGCCAAACTTAGCTGAAAGGATGGTTACATGGGCCATGGAGCTATCCGAATATGACATTGAGTTCACTCCAAAAACGAGCATCAAATCACAAGTATTAGTGGAATTTCTGGTTGAATTAAATGCACCATCGCCAGAGGAATGCCCGTCCAGATGGATCCTTTATATGGACGGATCGTCAAACCTAAAAGGAAGTGGAATTGGGATCATCCTTGAAGGGGCAGGGGAATTCATATTAGAATACTCTTTAGGTTTCAATTTCCAAGCTATTAATAATCAGGCGATGTATGAGGATCTAATAGCAGGGATGAGGTTGCCCAAAGAGGTTGGAGTAACTCATCTGGCGGTCAGAACAGACTCACAACTTGTATCCAAGCAGGTAACAGGTGAATATCAGACTAAGGACCCTACATTACTGAAATATTTATAGATAGCGTTGGGGTTATCTAAAGCTTTCTTTGAGTTCGAGATTAAACATATACCAAGAGATGAAAATCTACGAGCTGATGTGTTAGCCCGGCTCTCCAACACTAAGTGGTCAGGGCTGAATAAAACTATGATACAGGAGATCCTAGAAAAACCAAGTATCGAGCAAGAGAAAACTATGGCAATTGAATATCTAACCGGCTGGATGGCTCCAATAACCCAATACTTGACACAAGGAGTTCTACCAGATAAAATCAATGAAGCGAAACACATAAAAAGAATATCTGCATGTTATCTTATAATAGCTGACAAGCTATACAAGATGGGCAGATCGATACCCATGTTGAGATGTGTGTCAGAAAATGAATTTTAATTGATAATCAGAGAAGTCTGTGAAGGAGCATGTGGCAACCACATTGGAGGAAGGGCTTTGTCGGGAAAAATCCTCAGAGTCGGGTACTATTGGCCTCAGATGTTACAAGACCACCTTAGACCTTGTTCATTCTTTATCATGGATTGGGGAAGGTGAGAAATAAGCCACCAGGATAATAAGGGTATGCAACATATAAGAGTTCCCCGCTTCTTCATAGTACGAGTGTGAAGAGAATGCAAGATATCTCCAAGCAAAGTAGGCACAGGA